TTTGCTGCATTATCTCGGATTTAACGTGAGTGGGCGCAAAGTCGTTTCTCCCACCCAGTGCATCACCTTCTTAGGCATTGAGCTAGATTCCTCAACTATGTCTCTCCGACTTCCCGAGGACAAGTTAAACCGACTGATCGATCTCGTTAATACTTTCTAACACAAGGCTTCTGCCTCCAAACGTCAATTGCAGTCCCTCGCGAGATCTTTAAACTTTGCATGCCAAGTTGTCCATGGTGGTCGCACATTCCTCCGTCGCGTGCTTGACTGCTTAAACAAATTAAATCACTCTTCTCATCGGTGTCGTTTATCATCCGATTTCCGCGCAGATGTGTCCTGGTGGAGAGAATTTCTCGTCACGTTTAACGGGCGCCGCATGATGCTCGATTTTCGCCAGCCGTTTATATTCAAACGGACGCGTCCTTTCACGGTTTTGGAGCCGTCTCGCCTGACGACTGGTTTGCTAGCCTGTTCCAGGCGTTCAGATAGTGGGGAGCGGTGCGAAGTAAAAAGGAGCGCGAAAAAATAGAAGCGAGGGAGGGGGAGAGGTGAGAGAGGGAACGCCTGTTAGATTTGTTTTAAATAGACTCTTCCGCCCAGTCAGACCGCATCAGCTGTAGGTGGTCTTCACTTGTCAATCAAGACTGGTGTTACAACCCGATCGATGCATTTATTATAAGTTTGTCAGATCAAAAATTAATATTATGTTTACGTAATCTTACTAAAAACCCAATGTAAGACTTTCAGACAATAGAAGGCGGGAGAGGTATTCATGTATAATGAATTTATTTACGGCTTAAAAACATGATTTCAGCGTGTACGTGACAAAAAATTATGAATCAAGTGACAAACAAATATCGCTCATTTCGATAGAAAGCCGTTTCAATGCAGATCGTTAACTCAAGCAATGAAAATGCACAACAATAGAAGGGAAAATTTACTATTCGGTGATTGAGTGGACCTCGTCAATAGCGATAGCTGCAACTTGCTTTCCAAGCTTTCCTTTTTGAAGTCCTTTTGTCCATTCATTAGGCAACCACGATTTAGCACTTCAGTAAACAATTTCACAGCTTCCACTTTTAACGGCTTCATCCATATCTCCTCCCATCATTGCCGCCGCTACTCCGATTTTGTTCAAATATTCCACTTGGTCTTCCATGATGGTAATCAACGGAGTTACCACATTCTATCCTGCCTCCATTCCAACGCACGCTTTATTCGAGGAAAAAGCTGGAAAATAAGAATTTTTCCAAAGCCAGTCGGTGAGAAATTGCTAAGACATCTATCCTACCGACTACGTGTTTTAAACAGTTTCTTTGCTCTTCGCTTTTAGCCTCCACCTTTGGAAAGTCACTCAGCGCTGTGTTTGTTGCAAGTTTGAATTCTGCGTGACGGCACGTAGAGGCTGTCATAACGGCCATATCGCATTTCTCGCTGTGATCGAAGACGCTCCACTGTTGACAAAAACTGTCAAAATCAACCAATCAGAGGGTATACCAGGATCTGGTATACCGGTGTCACAGTGATATGTGTATCCCCGTGATATGTGTATCCCCATACACATATCCCTAGTGATATGTGTATCCCGGGTGGGGATACAATAAACACTGATGCTCATCCACGAAACAATAAGGAAATATCTTCTCTTGCTAAAGGAAATGTCATCGATATCATCTAACATAACTAGTAACACAACTATTACTAGGGTTAAGACAGGAATCAAACAACATGCAAAGGTGGAATATTGTGGCGCTCGCAGAAGGATACACATATCACTGAACCGGCGCAGCGATATGTGTATCCCCTGTTTTTTCTTCTCTTGCTAATGGAAATATCGTCCATATAATCTATCAGAACAGCTAGTAATACAACTAGGTTTACAGGAATCAAACAACTTAAAAGGTGGATTATTATGGTGCTTGCACGGGGGGATACACATATCACTGGACCAGCGCAGAGATATGTGTATCCCCTCTCTATTTTTTGACTTTTCGAGTTATCCCTTGCTGAATGAAATTTTGTCAGTCATACTTATTTAACGCGACTAGTGACATATGAATTATAATCACGCTGGATAAGGAGAGGAGCGAGAACGAATGTTTACATCAACATTGCGGCCCACGAAGAAGTAAACTCGCAGAGACAGCTTTGCGATTATTTTGTCTCGAATCGTTGCTCTTTTGTCGATTGTGTTGCTCGTAATCTTGAATCATTTGTAGTCCCTTTGACGATGATTCGCAAAATTCACAAAAACAACAGAAATAAAACCGACACTTGTTTGGAGGGGTGGGGGCCAGGGGATACACATTTCACTGGCAGCCATATTGGAGGGATACACATATCACTAGGGATATGTGTGCGGGGATACACATATCACGGGGATACACATATCACTGTGACACCGGAACGCACTTTTGTTAAAAATTCTTACAAGCGTCCCCGCACCTCTCTCCCCAGTCCCCCTGTACTTTTCATCGCTTTCTTAACTCCGCACCGCTCTCCACTATCTGAACGCTTGGAACAGGCTACTGGTTTGCTGGCTCCTGGGCCCCTTCACGTGAGAGCAATCTTTACTCCCAGTCATTGCCATCCCATTGGTGTGATGACGGTCACGCTATTGATCCATCCCTTCGTTTTAATATCAATTATTTGGAACTCTTTCCGGTTCTTATCGCCGCCCGCCACTGGGGCTCCTCTTGGACAAACAAACGCATTTGCATGGAAACTGACAACACGCAAGCCATGGTTTTTATTAACAAAGGCTCTTGTAAGACCCAATCGCTATGTCTTGGTTACGGGAGTTATTTTGGCTTAGTGTCCGTCACAACTTTCATCTCCGCGCGCGCCACTTGGCTGGAATAAATAACGTTTATGCGGACATATTGAGTCTTCTTTTTCAATCTCGGACATTATCTAACGACATTTTATCTCTCCTCTAGGATATCTCACACAACTGGATTTCCGGACCAAGTTTGTTTCTGCTGTGGCATATGCACATTCTACGTTCAACACTCGTCGCTCTCAATGGCGCTCCTATCTTCGGTTCTGTACTACGTATCACCTGGTTCCCGTCCCAGCCGAGATGCAAGCAATTATTCGTTTTCTAATTCACTTGTCTTATTATTGCAAATATTCTACAGTAATCAACTACTTATCTGCTATTAATGTTCTTCACCGACGTTTTGGCTTCAACGTCACGTTTCAGGAAGTGTTTTCTATCAAACTTATCTTACGCGGACTTCGGCGCATTCTTGGTGACGTCCCAGTTCAAAAACTTCCCATCACCCTAGATATTCTTCTCAGTTCACAGCACGATCTGACTCAGGCTTCTGGGTAGCGATGCTCATCTGGTTCTAAACTTTCTTTCGTAAATCAAATCTCGGGCCCAAATCAGAGAAGGATTTTGATCCCACCAAAAATTTATGTCGCCACGACATCATTGTCAGACCCTAGGGTTTGGTTATCTGCGTTCGTTGGTCAAAAACGATTCAATTCCGAGAGCGTCAGTTGCTAATTCCCGTTTTGCGGCTCTCCCAGGGTCACCCTCTCTGCCCTGTGCACGCATATGAACGTCACATTTTAGAATTTCCGGTCACCCAGCCTTCGCCTGCTTTCCTGCATTACAGAATCGGTCACGCCACTCCCATTACACACTCCGCATTCACCGACAAATTGCGGAAGGTTCTCAGTCACGCCGGCCTCCCAGCCAACAAATTCTCGGGCCACAGTTTTCGCCGTGGTGGAGCTTCCTACGCCTTCCGTTTCGGTGCTCCCGTGGAACTTATCAGTCTCCAAGGGGACTGGTCTTCGGACGCTGTTTTGCTTTATATCGCACAACCACTTGAGCGGCGGCTCTGAGTGGCGGAACTGGTTGCCCAAAACATTGACTATTCATAACTTTTATCTTTACTTATTATGAAATTTTTCTTTTTCCTTTCCCCTCCCCACGTTTTTCCTTTTTTTTTTTCTTTCTTTCGGATTTTCTCTGTCTGGCGGTTTGCGCGAGCCGCATCAGGGGGGTAGGCCTTCGGTTTCGCTCCCCCCTGCTGCGGCTTGGCTTTTTCCCGGCAAACAATAAAGTCATTTTGCTTATAGTTCCTGTTGTCCTTTGAATTAGTGTAAGCAGGTAATCGGCTCCTGGTGTAAGATCTGTCACGGAGGATTATGTTAAGTATTGGACTCTGACCAATGGTTGTATAATACGTAGTAACGATTGTCAATCTTCGAACGTGCGTGACATGGGTTTGCCCTTATAGCTCACGACATGTCATCATTTGTATCATTCATTCTTAGCTAGGAGAACCGCCTTTGTATTTTGATATCCCCACCCCCCCACCCGCGAGCCGCTTCAGGGGGGAGGCCCTCGGTTTCGCTCCACCCCTGCTGCGGCTTGGCTTTTTTCCGGCAAACAATAAGGTCATTTTGCTTATAGTTCCTACTGTCCTTTGAATTAGTATAAGATCTGTCTCGGAGGATTATATCAAACAAAAAACTAGCTCAAGATGTTTGTTTTGGTTTCATTTCTGGAATTCACATCCCATTATATTCAGAAAGAAAACAGTTTGTCAGCAAACCCTTACGTTCATATTGAGCGGTAACAAATAAAAAAACATTAAATTATTTGTGTCTCATATGTCAGGAAAAAGAGAAAAGATTCAAAATCATTCTGTGTTGCTGTAGAAATAACGGGCTTTAGAGTCTTTTTTTTAATGCAAAGCCCCACATATGCATAGGTTGTGATTTTGACTGATAAGTACAGAAGTGGGGTCGAATAATTGTGGTGTTTAGTATCTTCGATGTTAAAAAGCGGTTGACTGATATTTTACCTCAGTCATAGTAAAATATGACTTCAGGTGTAGTCAATGATGTGTCTTTTAAGGGTAAATACTGCTTTTTATTTAGTACTTAAAAGGACGAAATGTACCCAAGTTGATAAAACTGCAATATAACAAGACCTGGTAGATTTCCTATGGCCCTAATTATCAGAGAGCAAATTACCTTCACTTTTTTTCACCAAAGTGAAATGACACGTCATCCCCAATCAGCATAAAAGGTGCCCACTGCCTCACTTCAGAAAAACCGTTATTTCGCATCCACTTCATGGCCCGGTGAAGACATTCACTTGCACTTTTTCCTTGGACAAGGTTTTCGTAGAATCTTCTCATGAACTGCTCTGTTGCATCGTCTTGTAAGGCCCACAGTGCCACCAACACTGAGCGTGCACCCGATCCTAAGAATGCTCGAGCGATTCCAACAACGCCTTCTGTTTTGATCTGTCCACGTGCGGTATGGCAACAGCTAAGGACCACCAGTTTTGCGGTTAGTGTAACTTGTGAGATGTCGGCCATTGAGAGTAAGTAGTCTTGTTCATGTGGAATCCCCATAGTGGAGTCAGGAGGGGTAAGAGCAATTTCTCCTCTTTCGGCGTCACCATGAGCAGCGAAATGTACGAGACTTACTGAGGGTATCCTCTGAAGAACCGCCTGCTTTGTTGCTTGCTCTCCTATTAAAAGGTGAGATTCAGGTAGTAGTCTTGCTATCATCTCTGCTTCCGCTTTCGCGCCAGGCAATTTACAGAGTTTCCTTAACTCTCCCTTGAAATACACATCCCTCACACTTGGCTCACCCACAATCAATGCACCAGTTTCGCTGTGAGAGCCCGCTGGACTGTCCAGAATGAGCTTGAGAGTCGTCAAAGAAGGGACAATGCGTATCTTGAAAGTGTCTGATAAATAGCGGTTACATTTATCATGTAATGCTGCAAACGGAACTTGGAAGAAGCAGCGATCAGGAACAACAATGATTTCTTCAGATCCTTCTAGCAAGTCACTTACGGGAGCAATCAACATGTTGTAAACCTGAAACAGGGTTGGCGGTTCAGGGTCTGTGATTACTTCTTCCTCATCTAAAAGAGGACGCAAGGATGAGAGACTATCTTCCAGATTTGCTTCGTTTGTAAGTTGGTTGGCGTACGAGGAGAAGAGTGATCGGTCTTCGCATTGCTCTTGAGGTAAAACGTGAAAATTTCTTAATAAGCTCTCCTCTTTAAAAAGGTCATCCACAGACAGTTTTCCGTGCTTGCTAACATAGCTTTCAGAAAGTTTCGTTTTTCGGAAAGCTATCGGCTTGCTTTGTTTTACAGTCCAAAGAAGGATATCTTCACCATGGTAGGAAATGTATAGGCAAGTTCGGTTACTACTATCTCTAATGACCTTCAAGGCGCCAGCAAACGATTCTGGGTTGAGGGATACTTCTTTCTCCAAAAAGTACCGATTTGATACTAGGTCTGCTAGAGCTCTGGCTCTACCTAGCTCAGCAACGTGTAAAGCCTCATAGTGTTTTCCAGAAGAAGAACACAGTGAACTAAACAGTCGATAGGGGGACGCGTGCTTATCAAAAAATAATATCTTAAATCGATCTTTGTTTGGTAGAAAGTCAAGGATTCTCTCGCACTTCTCAATGCTAGCAAGGAGATTCGATAAAGCTTCAGATGCGTTTCCTGTTAATACTAAAGAACAATAATGTAGGTTTAGGTGAGCTTTAAACTGCAATTCGATGTCTCCAGTGTCCTTGCTAATTTGAAGAGATTTTTTAAAACATTCTTCAGCCTTGGTATGTTCACCGACAGTTAGACACAACCTTCCAAAATTTCCGTAGAATGATGCTTCGATGCTTTTGCCACCAATTTCTTTAATGATGTACTTTGCTTTATGAAGATATTCTTCAGCCTTGGCATATTCTCCGACAAACTGAAAGACGTTTCCTAGGTTTAAGTAACATGACGCTTGTCCTTCTTTGTCGTCAATTTCTGTCGTGATGGTAAGTGCTTTCTGAAGATATTCTTCAGCCTTGGCATATTCTCCGACAGACTGAAACACGTTTCCTAGGTTTCCGTAGCATAACGCTTCTCCACGTTTGTCGTCAATTTCTGTCGTGATGGTAAGTGCTTTCTGAAGATATTCTTCAGCCTTGGCATATTCTCCGACAGAACGAAACAAGCGTCCTAGCGTTATGTAGCATTGCGCCATTCCGTTTTTGTCGCCAGTTTCTGTCGTGATAGTAAGTGCTTTCTGAAGATATTCTTCAGCCTTGGCATATTTACCGACAGAATGAAACACGTTTCCTAGCCCTATGGAGCAAAACGCTTCTCCGTGTTTGTCGCCAATTTCTGTCATGATGGTAAGTGCTTTCTGATGATATTCTTCAGCCTTGGCATTTTCTCCGACAGAATGAAACACGTTTCCTAGGTTTCCATAGCATGACGCTTCTCCGTGTTTGTCGCCAATTTCTATGATGATGGTAAGTGCTTTCTGAAGATATTCTTCAGCCTTGGCATATTCTCGGACAGGACGAACCATGCCTCCTAGGTTTATGTAGCAGGACGCTTCTGCGTGTTTGTCGCCAATTTCTGTAGTGATGGTAAGTGCTTTCTGGAGATAATCTTCAGCCTTGGCATATTCTCCGACATACGCAAAGACGTTTCCTAGCTCTATGGAGCATGACGCTTCTCCGAGTTTGTCGCCAATTTCTGTAGTGATGGTAAGTGCTTTCTGAATATATTCTTCAGCCTTGGCATATTCTCCGACAGACTGAAATGATACTCCCAGGGTTATGTAGCATCTCGCTTCTCCGTTTTTGTCGCCTATTTCTGTCTTGATGGTAAGTGCTTTCTGAAAATATTCTTGTGCTTCCTTGTATTCACTTTTTTGGTAATACAGTTTTGCTAGCGTGTAGGCTGTGTCACCTTCTTCCTTTTTTCTCTTAAATTTACGTAGTAGGACTAAAAGCTTTTTGCCATATTCTATAGCCGGTGAATGTTTGTAAATAGCAGCATACCCATGACACAGCCTATCGTACAGCACCATACTCACTTCTCTGGCAAGGTCATTTTCTTTTTCTACGTGTTTGTTATTTAGGAATGTTAAGCACTCTTTCCACAGCACGATAGCTTGGACAACTCGTTTAGTGTTCCAAAGAAAATCTGCAGCTGCAGTCATGCTGGGGTAAATCGATTGTAGAACCTTGTCCATGAGGGTCTTGTCTAAAACATATAATTAGGGAAAAAACAAGACAAGATTTATTAAGGGAATAGTTCTACGGAAGTAGAGTTATCGAGATTATATCTTGAGAAAAATAAGAAAGGCAGTTCCGAACTGTTCTAATAATTTAGCCTGTGAACAGCCTCTCTGTTTGGGGAAAGGGTGCAAAAATCGCGAGGAGAGGGAAGGGAAAGGGTGAGAGCCTGTAGACAAACATTTGAGGCCGCTATTCCGCCTTCTTGTCTTGTAATTGCCGATCATCTGTCAGCAAGATCGTTTTCTGTCACTTGGACATTGGAATGTAATCACTCTCCCGTGTAAAAAGGGGATCGGTAGGCAACACAAAACTTTTACCTCGTGCCAAAATACTGCTTTTTCCAATGAGTTTTTTCTCTCGCGGGTAGATTATGCTCTGGGGCGTTTAGACTTAATTGAACAAATGTGATGTTTGCCGCTTATTTCATACTGAGAGCTCGTGAAACGCATATTGATTTTCTGCGGCTATTGTTTCTGCTTACACCACGTACTTACCTTTAAGATACAAGAACATTTATTGCCGCTAAAAAAGTTCATCAGTCAAGCGCCAGAAGACGCCATGTTTAAGATCAGAAGACCCGTTTACAAGCGATTATTTAAAATAAATCGCGTGCTACGTGCCGACCAAAAAAGCGATGTAAATCAAACCTGTCAACAGCCAGTGTTCTCGCCAATAGGAGCTTGCATCAGGATCGGATGCTCAGCGGGTGCCGTGGAACGACGGCCTCAGGTGTTTGTCTCTGCATGAAAGGCTATTAAAAATGGGGGCCGAGACACTATGCAACACACTGGGCGAAGGAAAGATCGAGGCACTAGTCGATAAGTGGAAGCCAAAGCAGTAGTCGATGCTCTGGCTGACACGTTAGCAGAGGTAGAGGCCGAGACACTAAGCAGCACACTGGCCAAAGTGTAGACGGAGGCACTTCTTTGTTTCCCTTCCCTCACCTTGCGATTTTTTCACCCTTTCCCCAAACAGACACCCTTTTCACAGGCTAGGTAAAACGTGAAAATGTCTTAATAAGTTTTCCTTTTTGAAAAGGTCATCCGCAGACATTTCTCCTTGCTTGCTAACATAGCTTTCAGAAAGTTTCGTTTTTCGGAAAGCTATCGGCTTGCTTTGTTTTGCAGTCGAAAGATATATATATCTTCACCACAGTAGGAAATTTAAAGGCACGTTCTGTTACTGCTATCTCTGATGACCTTCAAGATGCCAGCAAACGATTCTGGGTTGAGGGATACCTCTTTCTCCACAAAATATCGATCTGACACAAGGTCTGCTAGAGCTTTGGCTCTTCCAACCTCAACAACGTGTAAAGCCTCGATTTCTTCAACCTTTCCCCAAAAAGAGAGCTTGTTCACAGGCTATAATAATTAGCCTTTGGCCATTTTAGAAATAGGTAGGAAAACATTTTATCTTATGAAAATACAAGCTTTTTATTCTAAATATAAATAGCCTGCAGTGCAGGCGTATTTTGGGTGGGCGAAAGCTTGTTCATGTTCGTAATGTTGTAGCCGCCATATTTGACTTTATGACAGAGGAAGATTGGGGAGAGTAGAAATAGTAACCGCTTAGGGTAGGTGCAAGAGCGAAAGAAGGAAAGGGAGGAGGGGTAGGGGAGAAAAAAATACGCCTGCCCGATATCATTGTTCTTTTGGGGAACTCTTTACGCTGGCAAACGGAGCTCCTGATTGGTGCGGCATAGGGGAAGTAGATTGATGCCTGCCAATTAACTGTAAGTCTATATTGATTATTCCGTTTTCGTTTGCATGCAACTGCAGGAAAGAATTATTCTGAATTCAGAAATGGCGGACATAAATTCGAATTTTAACACGCCTGTCGAAACAAGTCTTTTTGAATTGGAGCGGCTGGGAATGTCGCGTGTATTACGCGATAAGAAAGTCAAAGCGATTTCTACACTGGCATCAGGATAAGATTTGCTCACAGTGCTAAAACCTTCACCCCTTTTCCCTCATGCCAAAATGCTGCTTGTTCCAATAAGTATTTTTTCTGGCGAGTAGATTATGCTCTAGTGGGTTCAATGTTTTAAATGAGCAAATGTGATTTTCTCCTCTCTCTCTTTTCGCCCCCTCCCCGCTCCCTTTGACTCGCCCTATTTCCTCCTCTCTTCGGGAGTTTCAACATGGCGCTTTCGCGGGCAAAAACATTCGTGCACCCGAAGAAAACGGCTGCATTGCAGGCTAAAATATAAACTGATTTGGTGAGGTGTCTTTTCATATTCAAGTCTATAGTACGTGTATCTGCAGTCTTTGTATTTACAAAAATCCAGTCTTTAGGTTTCATTGCTTCAAAAACCAAATAGTTTCCGTAATAAAAGTTTGAGTTAGGAACAACTATGACTGGAGGAAAGAACTCATTCTAAGCAGTTTCATCCCATACACAACAAGACCCCCTGCAATGGGGGTTCATTGGTCTGCCGACTGCGCAGACCAATGCCGGGGCTGTGTAGTAACTTCTACCGTTATGAATAAAAATACCTAACAAGTTTGTCTTTTGAAACAAGAAACGACTGGCTTTATTTTTAACCAGGACTTTCCACAACGCACTTGCTTCCCATAATATAACATGACAGTGTCACGTGACTAATTTCATCCAACCGGAAATTACAAAAATTATGGTGGTTCTAGGGTCACTGTTTGGGGTTTTTAATTCCTGTGTTTCTGGCAAGGCAAGTTAAGTTTCAGTTTTATTTCTGACGGATATTGCATTTAAAGCCCTTCTAACTATCGGTATCCTAGTGAATATGTTTCTGTTTTACGTAGCGATCTACAAATAGTATATTCCTTTCTTGTAAGGAGAAACCTTTAGGTACCTTTCACTCGTAGAGAGAGAACTGTAAAAAGTTGAAGCTTTTCTCGTGGGGACCGTGGGAGGGCATTGTTTCTGCATCTCGATCCCGCGCAGGCTAACTAAACGGATTTGTCACCTGTGCTGACAATTTGAGTGTTAGCCGATTCATGGGTATAATATATTGAGTTCTCAAACATCATTTAAAATTTCTGTTTGGCGGCCAATTTACTGTTCGGGATTGTTCCGGATAAGTCTCAGTTTCTGTGTTTTACATTCTCATGAATTGACACCTGATCTAATCACCAAGTAGAAGGAATGACAAGCAGTTACTGGACCATTTATCTTTCTCCAAATTGCAAAAACATAAAGAAAAACAAATCGATCGGTCACGAAAAAATACAGCTGTGTCATGGGCCGGGGTGGCTATAGCCCAACCAATAATTTCGACGGCTTTTTTTTAGCATTTACAACAGTACAGTTGAACCCCTTCACAACGGCCACCTTGGGGACAGACAAAAAGTGAAAGTTGTAGAGAGGTTTAAACAAGATTCGGTGTATGGACTATCCACCAAAAAAACTGGCTGTTGTAGAGAGGTGGCCGTTAGTGGAGGTTGGACTGTACTTCTAAAAAAGCACACAACATATTTTCTACGAAAGAAAATATATTCTCATAGTTGTACAGTCAGACCTGCTTTTTTCACTGTTTGCTTGCAAATTTTGCTGACTAGATTCATCAGGATTTGGCAACTTTGTTTAATACCCTGGCCCTAATGCTATTTATTTACAATTTTCTTTGTTTATAAGTTTTTCTGCAGAAAACTAAAAGAATGGAGATAAACATTGGACAAAATTTTCTCAAGATTGATAGAAATAAACGCAATGCCAGTGATTTCGGAATGTCTATTTTTTTAGTTTAAATTTTCCGGGGGAGCATGCCCCGGGCTCCTCGAGATAAACTCCGATTTCGCCATTCGTTGAACTCGAGCTACACGTGAGCTAGACTTACAAATAAATATCAATAAAAAATAAGTTCCGCTGTCCCTGGGTCCATCTTAAAGCTAACTGAGAAGAAAAGTTGCTCCTACGTAATGCTCAGCAACTTATGCCGGACTATTATAAGTTTTGAACTTGATCACTAAATAAGCTCACAATATAGTAATAAAAACAACAACAGCAACTGACAACATTATCCAGCACTCTTTGCTGTTACAAAACTCTTTTTGATCTGTATACCCCTGAGTTACCCAAAACACTGTCCAAACGAAGGGCAAGCGATAAGTCCATAATATTTTGGTCATGAATCCTCCGATTGGAGTGCTGTAAAGGTTCATGTTTTGAGAAGACCGTTAATCAGCGGTGAAAGTGCATCCCGGATTTGTTAGTTAAAACTTCCAACAACACTCGTATTAAAAAAGAGCCGCAGTCACCCATAAATAGTCAACGGAGGTCATTGAGTAGCCAAAAAGTAACTGTTTGCAGAATGATTCAGTCAGAAAACAATAGTTTGCACATACAAAGACACAGAAATAAATTGTTTGTACCTTCAAAATTTCATCACCCCCTTCAACAAATACTTATTCGTCCCCTATCTGAAGTTTCACATTACTGTACATCAGGGAAAGGTCAGTGTCACAGTCAGCGCTGTGAGGCCTGTGTGTAAGCTTATCCTTGATGTATCAGGGATAGGATAGTTCGCCTTGTTAGGATGTGATCTAGCTTATGCCAATGTTTTGGGTAAGGTAAATCGAATACCCCCTTTTTCGATCAGATTAAGGAATCACTATCCCAGTAAAAATGAAGCCAGAGTGGTTGATGTGTCTCTTTTAGGGACTGGTCAAAAAGTATGGGGGGCGGTGGGCCGGAGCAGAGGGGTGGGTCATGAGGTTTTGAGCCTTGTGCAAGGGGTGGGTCGTGCAATTTTCAGCTACCCTTAGGGGGTGGGTCACCCTGTTTTTTATTAACTACTAACGAGACAGTTGACTACACTTGTTATATAAAACACAGCCAACTGGAATTATTGCTAAAATACTCACAAACCTGTTGTGCGAGAAAATACAAAGGTTGACTGGCCGCACATCTATACGGGCGTGGAACCCTCTGTGAAGATTTTTTCTTCTTTTTTGTAAGGAAATGATCGGTGGTTCTT